GAAGAAGCGCAGAACGTGGAATAAAGAGCGAAGGGAAAAACAGCATAAGCATACAAAAAAATTTAAATATCTGCAGAAAATGTCTGAGAGCACAAAAAACAGAGAAATATAACCAAGGAAAACATGATTTTGTGTGCAATTCAGATAATTTTGCATTAATATTTCAGTTTTGTGCAATATGATTTTAAATGTGTTTAAAGTTTTGATTTGTGCTTTTTTTTTTTTTTTAAAGCATTATTACATTTTTGATTTACACTTATTATTTTTTTGATCCGTGACCATTGTTTGCTATTCTGAAAACTTTGCTTTCGTTTTTTTAATTTTGTGCAATATAATATTACTTGCGTTTTTAAATTTTGGTTTCACACTTGTTCTTTTTTTTTATCCGTGACTGCAATACATTTGGCGGGAATGTATAAATATATCTTACCCAGGCTGAGTTGGACTGGTTGAGCTGGTTGAGCATGACGATGGAGGTACAGCCGTAACCGAAAATATAGGCTACATATAATAATAATAATAATAATATATAAGGCACGCCGCATCATGCCCCGCCCGGCAGTGTTCTCCTCGTCACTTTTGACGCATTGACGCTCCGCTCAATATTCCGCTCTATGAATGTGCGTTCCGCTCGTGTACCGCTCATCCTGGGCTGGTGTGGTTACACGTGCTCTGCGGTTGTGAGGCCGGTTGGATGTACTGCCAAGTTTTCTGAAACGCCTTTGGAGACGGCTTATGGTAGATGGGATATGTAGTCCGGGGTGATATGCAACAGTGTGTCGTGCGAGAGTCAATGAAAATGGAAAGGGTGACCTCTGTTGGCTAGCAGACGGAAGTTCATGGACCGGATACGTAACACATAGAGGTGAATAAAAATAATATATTTAATATTAAGGTAACACTTTTCAATAAGGTTCCATTAGTTAATGTTAGTTAATGTATTAACTACCATGAACAAACAATGAACAATACATTTATTACCCAATATTAATATAAATTCTGTCCATTTTTATTGTGTTACTTTCAGTAAAAGTATGGTTATTTTATTGACTTGTGTGTTTTTTTTAATTAAGTATCATTAAAATTGAGTTAAATTTAAAAAGTCTTACAAAATTATTTTATATTATTTAAGTTTCGGTTTTCGGCCAAGTGCATCCAGAATTTTCGGTTTCCGTTTCTGTCCAGAATTTTCATTTCGGTGCATCCCTAGATGTAAGACTACATGTTTTATTTAATTTAATTTTAATTTAACAGTAATTTACTTTCAAATGCCCCAATTGCTGAAGGGTATGCACAACTTTTTAGTTCAATTTCAAGTTGCACTGTTCAAAATACCTGTAGTAGCACAGCAGTGCATACCTGTTTACATTTAATTAAGGTGGACTAGATTAGACTGTAATACAAATAGTTGAGTTTGCCAGGTGCATACAACATTTATGACAGGTTTTCATGAAAGTGTTGGTCAGTTTGTCTGCTTGACAATCCCATTTTGCACTGCAACAATAAAACTGAAGTGAGAAATGTTTCTTTTTAGTTAAAACAGATGTTGTCAAAGTTTTCCTTTGCGAACATAATTTGAAGTTGGAAAAAGGTAATAAATTGCAATATATCGCAGAATATCGCTATATATTTAAAATCGCAATAATATTGTATCGTGACACAAGTATCGTGATAATATCGTATCGCGAGGCCTCTGGTGATTCCCACCCCTAATGCAATAGGCAGCTTAACTGCTCAAGACAAACAGAACCCAGAAAACAAGTTTTTAATAAACATAACTGCTTCAAATTAATGTTTTCAGTATGGTTGTGTGTAATTTACATTGTAAAGCAAAATGTCCAAGTATTGGCAATTTATATTTACCACAGACCTTGATGTACGCATAAGCTGAAAAATCCCATTGTGAACCCATGGAGAATTAGTCTTTTGGGTTTTGGCATCACAACTGCTGCACACGTTATCAAAAAGAACATACAAACAGTTGTTGATCCAGTTCTATTATTATTATTATTATTATTATTATTATTTTAGTATTATTTATATACCATTATATTAATATTTTATTTTATATATATTTTCAGTTTTATATATTTATTTGTTTATTATTTTGCTTACGTTTTATTATGTTTTCAGTGTGCTTTTGTCATTATTATTACTTATTTCTATTTAGCTTCAATTTATTTTATTTTAGTCTTAGTTTTAGTAATTTTAGTATATTTACTAGTAACTTATTAACAGCTGCATTAATAACAGCTGCACTGATCATTCAGTTAATAACACACTGTATAAGAATCAAGCATGTAAACTTCAAAAAAAGTTTCATTTCTGTAAATTCGGTCACATTTTAATTAAACTCCTAATTTGCTGTTTATTAATAGTTCGTAAGGAAGTTGTTAAGTTTAGGTATGGGGAGTGTTATGGGATCTAAAATATGGTCATGCAGAATAAGACATTAAGATGTGCTTTATAAGTACTAATAAACAGTCAGTATGCTAGTAATGTGCATGCTAAGCAACTAGTTAATAGTGTGAATTGGTCCCTAAACTAAAGTGTTACCGGAAATTCATTATTATGATTATTTTATTATTGTATTATTATCATTTTGTCTTGCACACTGTATGTAAACATCTGTTGTGTGAAATAGCTTATTCAGGGCAGTAATAAACACAGCAACAATTAAATAAAACTCTTTTTTAATTATTACCATTTTGCAGATTCTGTAAGATGTATGTAAACGTATGATTTCAACTGTAGATAGATGCAGAGATTTGCCTTTGAAGTTGATGATTTTGTCTAAGGCAAATAATGTCTACAGAGCTTAATGGCTGAAAATAAATGCACACTGGTCACATACGAATACTTCTGCTATGAGCCTTGAGGTGAATGAATCAGACTGAGAATTATGCAGATTATTACACTTAATGGGTAAAGTGCTTCAATCCCGATTGGTTCTGACAGCACAAATGGGACATTACAATTATTATTATTACGATTACATTGGCTTTGAGGAGGACAGGGACAGGTACACAGTCTCAGAGCAGCAGACATGAAGCCATTAATAGCTTAATGTTAAAAACACACACGCGAGTGGGACTGTAAGGTTGAGGGAACTCCTCATTAAACCCTTTATAAATGAACGAACATAGACTTCACAGCTGGTTGACTTCATCACATTTTGAGCTGTGAGTTAGTATTCAGGTACACTTAACCTGGATGAAACAAAATGACATGATTTGCATAAAGCCCCAATGAAAATATCATAAAATTAATACAGTTCACACAAAGCCAAGCCTCTATGATACTCTGGTCTCTACATTAGTGTTATTTTAGTACTATTTATATTATTATTATAGTATTATATAATATATAGTATTATAGTATATACTATTTTTATACTCTAGTTATGTTATATGCTTTTGTCTTTCTTTTTAGCTATATATATATATATATATTTGTTGTGTTTATATATATATATATATATATATACAACAGTTCTTTCTGGTCCTCAAATCTGATTGGCTGAGAGGAGTGTGATATTCTAGTGATAACATAAATCCAACCATTTCACCGTTTGTATCACTCCGCTTGCAGTATTTCTCACTGCGAGTGTCATGACGGACGCCTAATTCCACTATAATTTTATAAATAACACTGTTTTGTGTCACAGAATGTAGTTTTAGGTTTTTAGGTGAGAATGTACTTGTTTACACTTCGAATATTCGGTTTGTTAATAAAGATAACGTCTATTTGAAAATTTGCTTCAGTCTTTTCAGAGATGTGAGCTCCAGGGCGTCAGTAGCCATTCAGCGCACATGAACCCGCCAAGAGCAGCCTCACCTCGGCCAGATCTTCTGGAATTTGCCGCTAGCTCTGATGTCTCTATAGTGGTTAAACATTAGATATAATTTGTTTTGGGTAAATCGGGTAGTCTTCAGCGCACATGAACCCGCCAAGAGCAGCCTCACCTCGGCCAGATCTTCTGGAATTTGCCGCTAGCTCTGATGTCTCTATAGTGGTTAAACATTAGATATAATTTGTTTTGGGTAAATCGGGTAGTCTTTGGTCTCATTAATCGATTATTTGTTCCAGAGCAAATAGTTTTGTCTGAGAGCATCATCTCATCACGTTATATTTTATGTAATTTTGATGCTGTATATCAGAGCGCTGCCTTTGTACTTTTGACTGAATTGCCTAGCAAACTTTTATGATGCCTATTGTTGTTGTTTATTAAATATTATTATTCAATAAATAATATTTTAAATAATAATAGTAGTATTTAATGATATTATTTAGTATTGAGAAACGGTGAGTGTGTGTTTGTGATGGTGATTTTAGTTACATTGTTCTGCCATTAGATGGCGACAGTCAGCAGTAAATATTTTTATATTGAAAGAGACTGAAACAGGGTTGTAAACAAGGAAGCTAATTTTTTCTTCTTTTTTTTTCAACAACACCTCGTAAGTCGCTGCCAACGAATGCAGTGAGCAGCGCTGTCATCGGAAATCACTCTTAACAGATGAAAGGACAGTAAGACAAAGATGTCCTCAGTGGACATTCAAACTAATGTTTTATTGTGAATATGAGATTGAGCTGTATAATAAATGCTGAATGAGATGCAGGTAATCACACTCGCTCAGTCCATCTCTCTCTCATAATACTCTACATATAATACAGTGAGCTTTTACAGTTTTTCTCGATTGCTAAAACACTATAACCAGGCTTTTGAACTAAAATTTCAAAACCATAACGCCATTTTTCAAAAAGCACACCCATTTTGCTGAACTATAAACACTATTCCCCTGCTTTAACACATGAGTCAGATTTGGTGAACTGTTACTGCAAAACTCTACACACAAATCCCTACATTTCTCAGTGCTTACACCATGTGGTCATTTAGAAAGCACTAGCATTCAATACTGTTCACTCAAGTCAGCACAGCTTCAACTCAATTAGCAAACAATTACCCAGGTGGAAACACTAAGAGTCAAAATTGAACACACATCAATCAGATCCTTCAATAAATAGATAAAAGGGCCCGAATCAGTTCACTGAGCTTTGGAACAATGGATCCACAGAGAAATGAAGGAATAGGTAGAAGAGGAAGAGGAAGAGGAGGGAGAGGAGGCAGAGGAGGGAGAGGAGGAATAGGAGGAAGAGGAATAGGATGAGGAGGAGGGATAGGAGGAAGAGGAGGAGGAGGGAGAGGAAGAGGACGTGGTGAAGGAGGAGGGAGAGGACGTGGTGAAGGAGGAGGAGGAGGAGGGAGAAAAGGGCAAGGAGACAAGCAGACTCAGATGAAATTTGAGCCACTTTAGTTGACCATGTCCTTGTGCATGGTATGACTATGAGGGAGGCTGGGCAACGAGTACAGCCAAATTTGAGTTGCTTCACCGTCGCCTCCATCATCAGAACCTTCAGGGAGGAAAACAGGTAGGTGTACTTACAGTAAGACTGCTCTGTACAGTAACTTTAGAGTGCATACACTGTTGCACTATGCTACTGTAATAAAGAAATGCATCAAATTGCCTCGCATACAGATAGAGTTTCAGTATGTTTCCATTTTTTCCTGTAAAAAGGATGTGTGACAGTTACAGTAATGAGTGCTTATATTTTTGTTGGACACAGAGACGACCACCTGGTGGAGGCAGGCTAAGGCTTTTGTCAGAGGAGCAAGAGAGGGAGCTTGTAAACATGGTCATTGCCAATAATGTAATCCGCCTGCGAGAGATTCAAAGCAGAGTGATTGAGGATAATCATCATTTTCGAGGGATAAATGCCATCAGCCTCTCCACAATTGATCGTATCCTCCGAAAGCACCGGTTCCGGATGAAACAGGCGTACCGCGTCCCTTTCGAACGAAACTCTGACAGAGTGAAAGACCAACGAGTGGAATATGTTCAGGTATGAGTTTTGATACTGTATGAAGTATTGTGTACCATCACAGTATAGCAGTTTATGCTGCCATTTGTGCCCTCTTGAACTGTGCTTCAGGGCAGTGATTTATCTTCTGGAATTTACCGCTGGCTCTGATGTCTCTATAGTGGTTAAACATTAGATATAATTTGTTTTGGGTAAATCGGGTAGTCTTTGGTCTCATTAATCGATTATTTGTTCCAGAGCAAATAGTTTTGTCTGAGAGCATCATCTCATCACGTTATATTTTATGTAATTTTGATGCTGTATATCAGAGCGCTGCCTTCTTTCTTTTGACTGAATTGCCTAGCAAACTTTTATGATGCCTATTGTTGTTGTTTATTAAATATTATTATTCAATAAATAATATTTTAAATAATAATAGTAGTATTTAATGATATTATTTAGTATTGAGAAACGGTGAGTGTGTGTTTGTGATGGTGATTTTAGTTACATTGTTCTGCCATTAGATGGCGACAGTCAGCAGTAAATATTTTTATATTGAAAGAGACTGAAACAGGGTTGTAAACAAGGAAGCTAATTTTTTCTTCTTTTTTTTTCAACAACACCTCGTAAGTCGCTGCCAACGAATGCAGTGAGCAGCGCTGTCATCGGAAATCACTCTTAACAGATGAAAGGACAGTACGACAAAGATGTCCTCAGTGGACATTCAAACTAATGTTTTATTGTGAATATGAGATTGAGCTGTATAATAAATGCTGAATGAGATGCAGGTAATCACACTCGCTCAGTCCATCTCTCTCTCATAATACTCTACATATAATACAGTGAGCTTTTACAGTTTTTCTCGATTGCTAAAACACTATAACCAGGCTTTTGCAGGCATACAAGAGGATTTTACCCCCACTGCCTGGCCAGGGCCAATATAGCCTGTGATGTGGACGAGATTCTCTGGCCTGACCCAGAACAAAGACGGGATGATGAGGCGGAATAATTTTTTTTTTTTTTTTACAGTTGTTCTGTGTAGTACATGAATGAATAAAAATGTGCCAATGTATACATTGGTTGTGTCTTTTGTGTTCATGTGAAAAGGTTTTTGAGGGGGAGAACCACAAGCAACATAACTT